CAAAGAAATACATCATATTCATTAACAGTATAGTTCAGATTCATGTGGGTGATGTCACTGTTCACTGCCATGCAGGACAGAGCTTCGTACACAAAGAAATACATCATACTATTAACATATATACAGTAGGTCAGATTCATGTGGGTGATGTCACTGTTCACTGCCATGCAGGACAGAGATTCATTACACAAAGAAATGCATCATATTAATTAGTAGTACACAGTACTGTATATACTGTAGGTCAGAGTCATGTGGGTGATGTCACTGTTCGATGCCATGCAAGACAGTGGTTCATATACATTGGACGTCATATTCTAATTGAAGACTAATCAATGTGGACTAGCAAATTTGGGATAAACAGCAATAATGTTCTCAAGCACCCCCAATTCAATGTAGTAATTACAAAGTTCATGATACAATAAGCCAGGTGGCCTTAAGTCTTTGACAGTGTCACATTCAATACTACAGTGTCCAAGTGTATGCTTTTAAGGTTTATCACAAAGTTTACATGCTGTGTTCCGGCATGGGTACAGCGTTACTAACTTGCCAGATGTGTCTGTATCCTAGTCTAATTCTGGCCACGACTAAATGACATTGTCTGGCTCTGTCCTTATGCTGGCCATACCGGTACCTCTCGTCACAAAATTTGTCATATTTACTAATGCTACAACTGCCAGGTCTCTCTGCATTTCTCAGTTCTTCTAGATCAGAGTTCATGATTCTGACTTGAATGTTTTAAGTACAGCATTGGACAGACCAAGGTCATGGTCAACATTCTCTTTCTTACATGTCTCATTGGCCAGTCTATCAGCAGGTCATGATACCTAATTCCAACATGGGAGAATCCACAAATTAAATCACGAGAGTTGTTCTCATTGGCAGTTATCACATTTATTTTAATATCACATACAACTTTAGACATAGAACCTGACAGGCTGTTCGCTGATTTCAAAGCACTTTGAGAGTCACAGAATATCACCCCACCTCTATTTTCTTTAAGGTAGTCTGTGTGGTAGACTCCAGTTCAGTTTGTGTTGTGCTGGCCCAGTTGTTCAGCCTTTGCTTGTTTGACACTATCATCTTTTTTTCATTATATATTACAATTGCACAGCCTGTTCTACCTGTGTTTGTCTGAACAGAACCATCAGTAAAAGCATAACATTCACTTGATTTAATACTCTCTATGTGTCTGTTAATAGTTTCTAGTCTGACACATCTCATCACATCGGTGCTAAACATTTGCTTACTACCAACAGGAGTGTAATTAATAGGAGGAATGGCATTAATGGGTTTGTCTGGGGTAATTGGGACATTCAGTTTCAAGAGATCTGCAACACTTTTATGAAGCCACACCCCGTAGAGAGTCTTTTTGTGGAAGGTTAGCGAGATAGTTGGGATTACTTAGATAGAACATCAACTCAGTTTGAGCTGTAGTTTGGGGACCAGTGTTCTTCAAACCCTTGACACAAAACATGGTATTAAGTACAAGCTATCCTCTCAGATAAGGAGGGCAGTCTGAGCTCTTTCCTCATGTTTACAATTCTATTTGATTTTGGGCATCCTAGAATGATGCGCATGGCTTCATTTTGCACTACTCAAAGGCTGTCGAGTCGTTTAGGCAGAATAGTCACAAGATGGAGACCATGATAGTCAACTACAGAACGAATGAATTGAAGATAGAAAGTACGAGCATACATGTAATGGAGACTGAGACTTGAGAGGGCTTGTTTTACCAGGGATGATATTTGAGTCATGACAATGCTGTCGGTACCTGTCCAGCTACAGTACAGTACAGTAGAACCTTGATAAATCGGATTGATTGGGGCAGACCCCAGTCCGAAAACTGCGAAAATCCGTGGCGAATATACAGGGTATAGGGCCGGGGAGGGGGAGATAACCGCGCTTATCTGAACTGTTTAAAGAAAATCAGTTGTTGTTATGTTATTACTGCACTTCAGCAACTAAGGTTTTTAAGTGTATAACAAGGTTATTGACAGAATATTACATCAACAATATAAAAATATGAAACAGAACTCTCTGGGTTGAAAATCAGACATATAAGTCTGGTTGTCAACAACTGTTGTCACCGAGATGATTGTTATTTACTGTAGAGTATTATATGTAGGTAACCACAGAAATTGTCTTATGAATAAAAAGAAAACTGTAAACTCTACTGTACAGTACTATAAAGATATAAATAAGAACAAATAAGTGTAGGAGTATATTGTATGTGGAAGGCCAATGTTTATCTGGGAGCAGCTGGCAGAGGGAAAGGGGCAGCATGGGTGGGTGGCTCCCTCTCCCACAAGATTCCTTTAACACTTCTTTATGCAATTTCACCAGAATTCTCATATAATTTAAGATCATTTGGTGCCAGGTTGATAAAATATTATTCTACAAGAATCAGCTTTCCTGAAAAAAGAATCCCACACTGAACTGAGACATTTGTTTACAAAGAGCAAACAGCTGATTGGCTTACAACAATGTCTCTCTTCAACACTTAGTAAATTAGTACAGTACATTAGTGTATTTATCATCACTTAATAAATACTATTGCAGTGTGTTTATCACCATTTAATAAATACTATTGTAGTGTAATTATCATCACTTAATAAGTAATATTACAGAGTACAGTATTATGTATCTGCATATACTCTGGTTTATTCATTAATCAGTTGTCTAAGTGTACAAGTAGCCAAACTGAGTCATCATATTACACTCAAAAGTAGTTAATAACGTTTTTTAGAAGGTATCTTCATATCAACTAGTAAACTGTGTTAGAGTGAACCCTGTTGTAAGCTGGTCTACTGAAAGCTGTCACAAGAATGCATCTTGAGTAAATAACCTTCTGATACAGCTTATCATTTTATTTTCAAGTCATATTACAAATTACATACAGTATTGTATTTTTCTCCATTACTGAAGATGTTATATTAATCATGATGAACCATAAACCATAAGAGGCCAATCATATGAGAATATAATACTGAATCAATAAATAAATAAAGCTAACGAATGTGGCACCACCTGATCAACCCCAGTCTGCTTACATACTCAAGTGTCTTGTTTCTCAGTAAGACTATAGCAAATCAGATTAGACCACTGTACAGTATTCAGTAAGTATTGTTCATTTCATAAGATTTTTTTTTAATTTAATCTTCCCCATTTCTTAAAACTTTTATTTTCAGTATTTCTGGTGACCAGAGCATCCCAGAGTCCGAAAAAAGTGAATTCCGATATATTGAAGTCCGATTTATCGAGGTTCTACTGTTCCTCCCAAACACAGGTGTACTCAGATGGTCGTATTTCTTCCAGTAATCATAAAGAACAGGTTTATGGGCATGAGGCATCAAAATGGTGGGGGCACCCCAAAAGTTAACCCAACACCTCGTGCATGAGTTGGTGACATATTCCTACACTTGACACATCAGAGGCGAATCCAGGAATATCAAAGGGAGGGGGGGATCCAAGAAGTTGTCGGTGGTGAGAACATGGCGAGCACAGCAAGCCCACCCGCTGGGGGGTTTAGGGGCACTGTAAGCCCAGAAAATTTTGTGAAATTTGACCAACATCATGGGTGTTTTGAGGCCATTTTAAAGCCATGTGCACTATTGGGAGATTTTCTGAAGTCAATAGTAATAACTTTTTGCTATACAAAAATGCCTGAGTACAATACTGCATAATAGAAAAAATATTAAAATTTTCTGATGAAAAGGGGGGTCCAGACCCCAAGAACCCCCCCTAGATCTGCCCCTGCATATTGAGAAGCACTTCTACCATTTATACTATGGGTAAACACTTTACAGTAGGAAACAGTCATATCAGTGAAAACAGTTGTTGACAACCAGACTTAAATCTGATTTTCTTAAAACAATCAAAATAAGCAAGGTTATATCCAGACCCCTCACAGATTCACTTTTTTGGGACTTGGATCTGCCCCAATATGTCCAGTGTATCAAGGTTCTACTGTATTTTGAGAGAAATGGGAACTTGACTCATTTGCCCATCACTCTCACTACTGCAACCTATTTATGGGAGGTGTTTGCCAAGCCTTATATGTTTCACATAAGAGAACAGTAAACAGTACTCCCTAAAAAGGATATTTTGTTCAGTCAACCCTCGCTTTACGCGGTCCCACTTTACGTGTTTCACGTTCTGGGCGGCGAGAGCTGAGAATGCGCTAAAGGTCGCCCAGTCATCAAAACATTTCAGTTCTTACCCGTCACCCACCACAGCCGGCCCAAGTCAGTGATAGTGATAATGATAGTGAGGATATGGACTTATGGACTTTGAGGGTTTGACAAAGAGGCCCTGCAAGCCTCTGTGGTGGATAGTGATACAAATTGATACAGGTGAGGGCCAATAATCCTGCCCTCTACCTCGAGACAACCCCCCATCCCGTGTGCCCAGCCATCTTTTCTACTATTGTAAGTGTTAAAAACCTAATATTGATATTTCTCTTAATTATTAATTGTGTGCATACCATCATAAAATTAAGAAGTTACTTTTATTACAACGTAGGTATTGTGTCTGAAAAAGTGGAGTTTGGGGGTCGGCCCGGTCTCTATTTCAATTAATCCCATATGTTTATTTGTTCACTTTACGCGTTTCTCACCTTACGGGCCGCCCGTGGGTTCAATTGACCGCGTAAAGTGAGGGTTCACTGTACAGGCCTGGCAACTCCTCTGGTGGGAATCATGGAGATTATCCACCTAGAATGGTGTATATCCAGCCATTTCACCCACACTACACCATAATTTCACTTCACTGCATGAGGCAGGTCCACCTAAACCTGTGAATTAATGTGTCAAAAACTACTCAAATATAAGCAGTACAATGGTTCAAGAAAAACAAACTAAAATACAAATCACTCAGTCTGCATACCTGCATTGCCACACTAGTTTGTAAACACACTTAAATACTTCCCAACAGAAGGTAAAATCCAATCAATTTGACCTTAAATACAACTCATACAATTGTGTGCTTCTACCCCACCCTAAAAAAGGCACTCATCTCTCTAGTGAGCAAGTAAAGGACAGAGCTCTTATTTTTGTTGTGTATGTGGCTGAAGATGTGAGGATTAGTCATGCAATCTGATTATGACTGAGCCTAAACTGAAGTGGTTGTACATATACCATGTGATGTGTGACTTAATAGTTCCCAGAACTGCAGTTTCTTTCTTAACTCTCTTTAAAGGTTAAAACTCCTCATGAGAAAGAGGCTAATCTTCAGATCATTGCTTCTGGATTTCTCAAACCTCAAACTTTTGGCTGGCATATTCACAAGTAATTTTAAAAAGGTTTAGATTATAAATAAAATCAATACATACATAATCAAATTAAACTAAGGTAATAGTAACATCATTTATGATGCACTTCTTCAAACTTGCTGTGGCTAGTTTCCTTTGCATGGACAAGTGCTTGGTCTTCTCAGTCATAATGGTACCACATTGTTTACACTCAAGTCGAAATGCATTTGTATCTGTATATTGTCCACTCTGCTTTGCTTCAGTTGCCATCTCCTGTGCCTGCTCCAATACAGAGTCATCACTACTTGGATATATAAAAACACAGTCTCCTAAACATAAAAAATCATCTTTAGAAACAACTACATGGATGTGAAAAGATTGCACAAATATTACCTGTACACTACAGGTATTAGAATTTGTCTTGAGAAAGAAGATAACATTAAAGTTTAGATATGGAGGATTGATCCAAATATCCTATTTTATATATGGATCAAGACTAAGTAACTTACCCCCCCCCCCACTACCCCTGACGTGGAGGGGGGGCTTGCGAGTTCTGATGATCCGGTTTGGTCCCCTTCCCTTCCCTCCTCAAAGGTAGCGGGAGTGTTTCCCAAACTGGGTGGGTTACCAGTGAGGGCAAACAAAATGGCTTCTATCCTACTGCATGTTTTGAGAGCAGACTGGCAGCATTGTTCTTGGTCCAGACCACTGGGGCTGGAATGCTCTCCCATGTATGCCGTGCGTGCAGAGCCATCATAGGTATGGCAAACAGTGTGACCACCCCGGGCCCCATGGCCCTTACCTCACCCAACACCAGAATTAGTGACCACGTTAAGCTGACCTCACCTTACCCCCCCCATATTCAGGAGACCACCTGAAGGATTAGTGACCTGCACAGTTAGGCAATGCATCTGCTGACATGAGAACAATGTCATTCTTTACTGTGCTCTCTGTCAAAGAGGAGTGAGGACGTTGACAGCGGTCACCTGTAAGTGTTGTCCAAACTCTGAATCTCCTGTTGTCCGTGATATGTGTTTTGTGAAATTGTTGATATATACCATTATTATTTTACTATCGTACACAGCCCTCGTTTTTTATTATACCATGGCAAGCAGGGACAGATACAGAAAATACATATAGTGCAGAGAAAAGGCAGGAAAAAAAAACGAGAAGAAATCGAAATGTCAATGAAAGGTACCCTAGAAAAATATGTTTTCAGAAACGCCAGAAACTAGTGCAAAAAAGGACCTGAGCGACTTTGAGGGTGATAGTGTGGGTCATATTCAAGCTGAGGAAGAGGAGAGTACTGAAAAAATACTAAGGCTTTTAAAATGGACAGCTTTACCTAAGGAAACGGGCATGCTGATGAAGATCTGTGAACCAGCCAACTGGCCACATTTACTGGACACTATGACAATTGATATTTTGGTAGAAAAGGGACCTGTTAAGGCATCTAGTGAAAATTGTTTCCAAAAAATGGTGAAAACCGACACTTTTCAGAAGACTTTTACATGTGAAGATTGCCAAATGGGGAAATATATGAAAGATGTTATAACATAGTAAATTACATAATACCTGTACTTGGTACAGTCGACCCTCGTTAATTCGGACTAATAGGGGGGAAGGGTGTCCGTTTTAGCCAATTGTCCGAATTAACCGATTTAGGGGTTAATATTGCATAATATTGCATTATATTTCAAAGAAAATGCAGTGAGTTTGCCCTTAGCCTTGCATATGTCCGAAACTGACTGCTTTTAACACCATACTCATCACAAACTCTAGCCACGGCACCAGCCTCTAACTTCCTTATAAGTTCCAGTTTCTGGTTCACAGAAAGGGTCACATACTTCCTCTTCAGCGTATTATTCCCCCTTGAAGACAAGCTGTAAACACAAGGCTGAAAGATGCCCAATCACTGAAATATCAACTAAAATTGCAGGGCAACACAACACTGATACTCAAATATGGCGCTAAGTCAACAATGACTGGTGGGTCTGACCTGTAGCGTGCCATCTATCGGACAGTCCCAGAACCAGAAATTTGATACGGACAGTCCCTCACTTAGTTCAGATTTCGTCCGAATTATCCGAAATCCGGATTAAAGGGGTCCGAATTAATGAGGGTCGACTGTATAGTAATAGTATGATTGAGGAATTAACTATACAGATTGTATATTACAGTATGTATGTATGTAACTATAAAAATATAAATAAATGTTAACCTTCTCTTTTATTTCATATATATATATACAGTTAACCCTCACTTTACGCGGTCCCGCATTCCGCGTTTCCACGTTAACGCGGTGCCTTGCCAGAACCTCACGTGCTCACATTACGCGGTACGTGAACCCCCATTCTGTGGAAGTGTCAGTAGCAGCGTATTTTGGGTGCCCACCCGCCACCCGCCCGCCTGCCTGCCTGCCTGCCTCTCCCTCCTCCTCCCTCCGCTTAGGCAGCGGCAGCAGTAGGTGCGCGAGTGTGTGTCTTTATTTGCGTTATCACTGACGTCATGTAATCCAGACCTGTGGTGGCCATTGCATCCCCCCCTCTGCTGCTAGCTGTGGTGGCTTAGAGTATTACAAGCGTGTCCACCCGGGGAGGAGGGAGGGAGGAAAGGCGGCAGTGACCTAGCAACGGATTTCATCCCTCAAGGCCACTCCGTATGTAGCATCCATTGTTCCGATAAGAAATGGCTTCCCCCGGACCTACACCCCCAGAAAGCAACCATACACCTGGACCCAAGCGGCTTCAACCAAAAGAAGACCACGGCGTTCCTTAGCTTCTGAGGTGAAGTATAGCATCATCAAGAGAGTTGGAGAAAAGGAACAAAGGCAGGTTGATTAAGCGGCGCCAGCATAAGCGTGGTGAATCTCTGATCCGGACTATAAAGAGGATTCAGCCAAGATAAAGGCACATAGTCCACAAAGGTCTAAAATTCTTCTATGATCAAGTATTTTCACAACCAGGTGCTTCTCAAGACAGAAAAATTGCTTGTGAAAGTACTTGAATGCGTCAGTAGCAGCAGCGACGGAACATGAGCGATGCGACACGGCGCTCTGTTAAGGACTACGCATGTGAACTGTACATGGCAGTGGCACGAAAGATGGGAACTTCAGAGCCCAAACCGCTAATGCTTCTCTGGGTGGTTACAGAGGTTTAAGATCGAACAAGATCGCAATATAAACATTGGTGGTGAAAGCGGTCTTTGTCGTGCGGCTCGAAATTTCCTCCGTTTAAGTGAGATTATGGAGGAAGGACAGTACAGTGGCGACAGGTGTTGCTTTTATGAATGAATCTGGTCTTTTCTGGAAAAAGCTACGCTTCCAGGATCGCCGTTGTGAAGAATGCCAGCAGGATTCGAGGGGCGGAAAATGCAGAAGGGTAACATCACCGTCCTGTTTACCACCAATACCCTCCACGTTGCCTGTAAGCTCAAGTTATCGATTGATCCACACAGCCCACAAGCATGCGCCTACAAGAGCATGGACATGAGCCAAGCTAAATGTCCACTGTTGACCGCCGCGTGAGCATGGATGTTCTCTACACTGTCCCTCTCCTGGTTTGATGACTGTTTTGTTCCCAATGTAAAAAGAAATTCTGTGAAGCGACAGAATGTCCATTTAATATTTTGTTGCTGCTGGACAAGCGCACCAGGACACTCGCCCTACTGTTGGTCGTCACCCCCAACGTAAAGTGGTCTTCCTTCCTCCAACACTTTCGTCTTTAATCCAGCCCATGGACCAAGGTTGATTTGCAATGTAAGCTGCATTCTCAACAAAAAATTCCAGCTCCTGGTGACTACACCAACACCAGGGAAGGTTAATAACCTGAGTGACACCACCACCGATAGCAAGGCGAAGAAGATGAGGATCAGCAGTTAGAACAGCAAAAAATACTGTTCAAACAATTCTGGAAGTGTTAACATCAAGAAGCTGTATGGACTTCTTGGTGGAGTCATGGGATCAGCTGTCTATTGCTACAATTAAGTCGCATGGAACATGTTGCATGGAATGCCAGGTGAGGAGAGAGTCAATCTGTGACTGGTGAGGAGTTCAGAATGTTGCGGTAACAGTGGACCTTGCCAGAAGAAGCTGCGCCAGACTGTTACAGTTCAGGCTTCTCCAAGACCTCGCGACGACATCCTGGAGGTGATCAGAGATCCTGAAGTGACTGCCGACGAGATGTTGGAAGAAGAACACGTCGACGAAGAGGAGGAAGATCGTCAGTCTCCGAAGAACACGAATTTAAGTCATGGTGATATTAAGGGTGCCATGGAGTATTGCAGAGAAAGATGAAGTCCTTCCTTTCCCGACAATGGCGATGACCGCTATGAGTCTTCCATACCCGGCTGGTGCAGGCTGTGGAGCGATACATCAGGTGTATCACACGACAACATCAACGCCAGCCGTCAGCAAAAGCATAACAGATTTCTTCGCCCATAACCCACACAGCCAGCAAGCCAGTGATAAAAAGTGACAGTGAAGGTGACTTTGTGAGGATTTGTCGAAGCCCTGACAACTGTAAATGACAGTGATGGTGATTCACCTAGTAATAGTGATTCACCTGAGGAATGATAATCTGCCCTCTGCCTCCGAACCAACCTCCATCCCTGCCATATACCCATCTCTTCTACTACGTAAGTGTTACACCTAATTTTAGTTTTCTAACCTTACCTTTATTTTCCTATGTTAACCTTTATCTTTCCCTAACCTAACCTCTTCTATATTACTTGTTTTCATACCATCATAAAAGTTAAGATAAATTTTACTACAACATAGTTATTATTAATAGATCAAAAAGTGGAGTTTGGGGATCGGCCGGACTCCATTTGAATTAATCCATAGTATGTTATGTTATTCACTTCACAGCGTTCCTCACTTTACGGGACCCTCCGGTACATTAACAGCGTAAAGTGAGGGTTAACGCACTTGTTTTCATACCATCCTTAAAAGTTAAGATAAATTTTACTACAACGCATGGTTATTATTAGCCATTAAAGGAGTTGAGTTTGAGTTGGCCGGACTCATTTCCAATCAATCCTTATGTTATGTTATTCACTTTACGCATATATATATATATATATATATATATATATATATATATATATATCTTGATAAAATCACGGGAAAATGGAAACAACGAATTACCTTAGCTTCGTCTTTATTCAAGACATCTTCAGAGGCAAAGCTAAGGTACTCACGTTGTTCAATTTTCCCGATGTATTTATCTTATCCACGTTTTCATTGTGGATTTACATGAAATATATATATATATATATATATATATATATATATATATATATATATATATATATATATATATATATATATA